CTCGGCTTTTCTTTTGATACCATTCAAATAGCTCACCCATCTCACCAAAACGGGCGTCACTTTCACTATTGTAATCATCATCATCCGTGTGGAAATCGCCCCCATCATATGGGTATCCTCATGCTCCGTCTCCGGAACGAAATTCGGATCATAGTTCTCGGTGTTAGTCTAAAACACCGGGCTCATGTGGCCATCACTCACTGTTTGGCGCGGTGGCCCCCACGGCCTACACGGCCTCCTCTTCTCCCCCTAGAGCCAAGGGATGTGGCTCAGCTAGCCCCCACAGAGGCTCCCGCAGCTAGTCCCCTAGGGTTGTTCCTCGTCGGCATACGTCTACCCTCCATTTCTACAAAGAAATTTGAACGAGTCATTAGACTCCAATTAATGTCAATTGACGGAACACGTTATATACGCATATCGGCCCAAGTCACCGCCATACCAGTTGTTAAGGGTACCATCTTAACAACTAGAGACCTTGCAACCTAGGTAACAATAGTTCTATGAACGTCAAAATACAATGCTCATGGTTTTTGGTAGAAATTCCTTTTTGCAAAATTTCATGTGAGAGGTTGATTACACAGTTTAGAACTGAGATGGCTCTTATACCACTTAATTGTAGGGCTGGGTTCGGTTCGGGACCCGAACCGATTTAGTATAAACCCGAACCGAACCGATATTTCGGTTTACTAAATTACAAAAACCGAAACCGAACCGTATTAAGAACGGGTACCGATTTTTGGGGCCCGAATTATTCGGTTCGGTTTACCGGGAACCGAAAAACCGACTCAATTTTAAAAAATAAATTTGAACTAATATTCAGTAGACTAAAGCTCATTGGAACTTTCCAATATTTGAGCCCCATTAGCCCAATTGGAAGCCTAGAACGTATCTTAGCAGTCTACAATAAGGGAACCTGGTTTATATTGAAGTTTTTGGAGTAGTAAGCTGCTCATTTTCCGGTGTGGAACAGAATAGAAGAAGAAAGAAGCCAAATTCTAAAAATACAAAACATTACACAGCATACGGGAATCGATCCCTCGACCATTTGCTGGGGATAGGAGCACAACGACCAACTCCGCTACTCGTCATCTTTGTTCAAACCATACTCGGGTTTATATTATTACTATATTTTTCGTCATTAATTATTATTATTATAAATAACAATTATTATTATTAATATAAAAATGTCGGTTCGGTTCGGTTCGAACCGATATTTTGTGCACATAAACCGAACCCGAACCGATTTTTTTCGGGTCCCGATTATTGGGTCCCAATTTCGTTCGGTTCGGTCCGGTTCGGTTTTTTTCTAAAACGGTTCGGTTATTTTCGGTTCGGTTTTCGGTTTTTCGGTTCAAAATGCCAGCCCTACTTAATTGTCACGCCCCAGACCGCATCTAAGCGCGTGTACAACCGCCGTGTGATTAAGTGATGTCACTCGCAAGTCAACCTCACATAATCACACAAGGCGTTCATGAACATCGTTCACACCATACTTAGTAGTAAACATACATAACAACATCACATCATAGATTGAATGAATAGCGGAAAATATTCAACGGTCAATCATAAGCCACATATGGCAAAACGTAGGCTCGCAGGCCAAAACAATGTAATATTACAAAAGTATCCATGAGCATAGTTTATGATTTAAAATAATAAAGGAAGCACGAATCACGTCTTCCTCTAGATTCTTCCCACCCGTGCAAGGGTGTAGACAAAAGGCTCTAGCTTCAACCTGAAATTGTGGGGGCCCCCGAAGGGGTCAGTACAAGTACCGAGCGAGTAGCAAGCTAAATGTAGAGTAACTAACGTTTCAAGTATAAGACCCAAACATAGAGTGATACATATACTTATACTTCCTTACCCCAAGTTACAAAATACATATCAGTACTTATATACACTTGGAAATACCCGACCCGTAGGTCATTGTTTAATTGGGAAAAATGATAGTAGTCAATGTCCTTGACTTAAAACACCAACCCACCCATAGACCTATGAGTGTATAGGACTCCTCCTGTCCGAATCAAATAATCATAAGGACACCGCCCGGTCCTGAATTACTAAATAGTAATCTATGAGTTTTGAGGATACACGCCCGATCCTTGGGTACTCCACCCTATATAACCGAGTTTTGAGGATACCGCCCGATCCTAGGGTACTCCACCCTATATAACCGAGTTTTGAGGATACCGCCCGATCCTTGGGTACTCCACCCTATATAACCGAGTTTTGAGGATACCGCCCGATCCTTGGGTACTCCACCCTATATAACCGAGTTTTGAGGATACCGCCCGATCCTTGGGTACTCCACCCAACCTATGATCTACCACATATCATACTAGATAGGGTCTATATCATAATCAATAAACAAGACTAGCCCAAGTCTTAAGGCCTAAACAAATCATCCATGCAACTCATGCATTAAAATTAGCATATAGGTAAAGTAAGGCCAAACCGGTGCCGGTCAACTCTCGGTTGACCCGCCATTCCAAATCCAATGTGTGTCAAACTTAGTCACAATATGTACTAAGTTATAAATAACTATTTTATGCACATTTCATCTCTACACATATCACGTATGTTTTTATGAGCATTTTCACTTCACAAATCATGCATATTTCAATAGTTCACTTCATACAAGCCTAATCACTTAAATTGGCTAATCACATGTTTAATTCATTTAAACATTTTTTAAAACACACATAACATATACTTAGGTAATCTCATGTTTAACCCAAAAGTTACAAGACATTAAGCCATCGACTCACCTTAAATGCATTATAGCGTGTTCTACGCTCTTCGGTTGAACTCCGGCGGAACTCCGGTGGAACTCTGGCGAACTCCGGCGAACTCTAGAAACACCTTAGTTAAGCTCCTTTATTTTCCAAGTTTTCCTCTACTTTTGCTACTTCCTTTTCTTCCTTGAGTTTCTTGTTGTTTGAGCTTGCTTTGGCTATGGAGAATGAAGTTGCAGAGCTTCCTTCCTCTCTCCCCTTGGTGCTGGCCGAAGTTTAGGTGAGGAAGGGAGGGGGTGGGCTTCACTTTTGTCTCTTTGAGCAATGAGTGAAAGAAAAGGGGTCCACCTCCATTTAATTTAGGTGCCCCATCATCACCATCACTCCTCCCCCATAATGCAGACTCCTTGTCAAACTTGAGCACAAAAACGTGGGGTGGCCCCCACTCATGTGGGAGGTCATCCCTTTGTGCCCCGATTTGGACAATCGGTCCCAAAAGTTGTATTTTTCGGATTGTTTTAAATATATTTTATTTCATCGGGTCAAATAAAATATATTATGTGTTTCCCATCCTTATGGACTCTTAGAATGAATATACATTCCTCATCTTTAATTTAGAAGTCTCTGAAATCTGTTTCGGGCATTTATTTGATAAAGTGCCAATACCGGTAATTGGGCTTCGTTTGAGTGACGGGTCAACCCTAAGCCCTTTCTATGGCCCAACTAAAATATATACCATCATATAAATATTTTCTAGACCAAGATGAATATGATATGTGGTCCCGGGATTACCGGACGGTCCCTGCTCCCGGTGTGGGCCCCACGTGCAGTTCACTATTCACATGAAAGAAATAACCAAAAATTTACAACCACGTAAATTCATAAATCAATATTCAAGATTTATTACATGATTTACTAAAAAGTAAATATATTTGGGGACGGTGTTACATATAGGAACCATTTTTTCTATTGTATTATTTTCGTCCCTAAATAGAACGCGGGAGCTCCTATTTAGGATGATTTAAAGAAATTTCTCTAAATAGAAGCAAAAAGGTTTATGGATTCTAAAATATGAATATCATGTTTTTATTCTGAGTAATTACTATACATTTGTCTCGCTAACATTGGTATATGAGAAGGTGGTGCAATTATAAAAAGTGAATTTATATGGTTGATACTGAATCGATAAAGTGAGAATAAACTAAGAACGATTTAGAACCACACCAATAGTATCAAATTTGATATGAGACAATTTTAGTGGAACAAACCAAAAACCTAAGACAATCTTAGCAGAAGACAGAGTTTAACGTTTTGTGACATTACAAAAAACAATCTTATTACTGGGCATGGTAGCATTTTTCGGGCTGAATACTAATTACTCGTGTTTAGGGAATAAAAAACAATCTTATTTTGAAAGTTAAAAATGTTTTTACTCATATAAATTTTCATTCTTTTAATGAAATTGCACTAATCTTATACTCCATCCGTCCCAAAAACAACTTCACACTTCGTTTTCCACACATATTAAGGAAATAAATTTACTGGGAGTAAATTTTACTGTTTGGGCATTGTTTGGACATTGTTTAGCACTGTTTGGCAATGTTTGGCACTGTTTTGATGTATATAATTTACCAAATAAGGAAGTGGGAAGAAGTGTGAAATTAATTTTGGGACATCCATTTAAGGAAAGTGGGAAATTGTTTTTGGCATGGAGGTAGTATTTGAGAAAGAAAACCCATTTTAATCTTAAATTTTTAGTTTTCAATTTCACTCCTATTTTCATTTTTCAGCAATTTCTTTCAAAATTTTAGGTTATACCGAGTACTAGGTAAATATAGGGTTGGCTTTGAGGCTTGAGACGTAACTGCCGCCACTGCCCCACTATGAGCCCATTTGGTGACCATTTTTGCGGCTTATCGGGCTTAATTTCGCGCGTAACTTTTTACCAAACACGTAACTTTTTAATTTCGCGCGCTGAATTTTGTAATAAACGGAAAAAGTAAGGTTAGAGTTACTTTTCTGGCTGTATTGGCTGAAGTTACTGTGGGGGATCATTTTAACTATTTTTCATATAATTTTTATTTAATTTATTAACAACAAATATTTTAAATATAATTTTTTTATGAGTCAATAGAATCAACCAAAACAGTCAATTCAGACAGAATTTCATAAATTTGAACAGAATCACAGAATTCACACTTTTGATGTTACCAAAGGACTCGATATATAAGTAATGCTTAGGAAGTCTCGAAACCTATTTTCAGTCGGAAGTTGTCCCAACGACACGCAACCATGCTTAACAAGAAGACAGTTAACACTTACAAGACGGCGGCGTCTAAGGCTCGGAAGGCCGCCGTCGAATCCGAACGCAAGGCTCGGGAGGAACGCGACAAGGAAGATCGATTCTGGCGCGAAGCCGAGGGAACGAAGTCCCGCGCAGCAAAGAAACGCGAGGAAGAGGCGGAGCGGCGAGCGGAGGCCGCTGCCAAGAAGGCAGAGGCGCGCCGCCTTGCAGACCAGGAGGCGCGGGAACTCGCCAGGTCTCTGCAGAAGAATAAGAAGGTGACGGAGGCGGAACTCCGGAGGCGAAGGGAGGAGGAGCAGGCGGCGATTCTGCGGAGGACCGAGGAGGAGAAGCGGAGGCAGGGGCGGCGCGTCACGGCGGAGGAGGAGTATGAGAGGATGGTCCTCGTCCGGAATACGAATCGGGACGGTTCCGTGATCGACGCCCGGTCAGTGGAAGAAGCGCTTTTACACATGATGGGAAGTCCTCAGAATTTGAGTCCGGAAAGACATCCAGAGAGGAACCTTAAGGCTTCATTCAAGGTATGAATTGAAAATAGAGTACTCTGTTCATATTCTTTTTAAAATATAATTAAATCTTTAATCAGTACTATGATTAAATCCTTAACCTGTTAACCATCACTTTAATCATCCTTCTTTCATTCTTGAATAGATGAACTTTCTTTTTCGATCTTTCTTATGATTTGATCCATATATTTTTAATTTTTGGAAACTTTTACCTCCATGAAGTCCTTTATTTGACCCAATTTTTCTATAATGGAGCAAGTAATATAATACTCCATATTTACAAGTTTTTTTATTAAAAACTATATCATTTTAAAATTAATAAAACGAAATCATTTAAGTTTTTTATTTTATTTTGAAAACGCATGAACAATTTATATATCTTAAAAAATAATGTGATATAATTATGTTTTTACTTTTTAACAGGAAATTATTTATGAAATATTATCTATATATATTTTTGTAATGTTACTTTATCATAGCTTTTCTAATTATTTATTCTTAGTTTCTTACATATCAAATGACAAACAACAAACGTTAATTTTGATCACCAAAGTCAAACTGTGAATTATTTGTGGGATGGACTGATTTACTACATAATTTAGAAATCCATATATATAATGGACATGATAAATGAAAAATATTTCTAGGTTAAGCTGTTAAGGTAAAGTAGTAGATAGTTTTTAAGAAACAATTATATGTGGTTTTATAAATAGCACAAGAGGCCAATTATGTGTAATTTTTAAGAAACAATTATATGTGGTTTTATGGATTATATATTTAACAAAGCCTAAAAGATGAATTACAACCTTAAGATATTATTGCAGGCCTTTGAGAAAAATGAGCTTCCTGTGTTGAAAGAAGAGAAACCTGGGCTTACTCTGACACAGTATAAAGATATGATTTGGAAGGTGTGGAAGAAATCTGGAGATAATCCTCTGAACCAAACTCCAAAGTTTGTTCCATGGAATTGCAGAGAAGATCTACCATATATGGAGGATGATAAACATAGCATGCATGCACCTCAGAAAGCTCTTCTAGCCTGACTGATTGAATGGTTATAGAATTAACTTCTTGACTAATTATTTGGGTGTATGATATTGTCATATTGATTCAATAGCTCCATCCAGTGCTTAGCAATTTGTACTTATTGCAAAGATTTTAGGCTTTTAATTAACTAATTAATCTAATTCTACCAAACAGTTTTGTTTTTTCATCCCTTGTTACTCTGATTCTAGCTGCATGCATATTTTCTTAATAGAGTTGATTCGTTAATAGTTTAATACATTCTTTGTTGATTTCGTTTAGAACTTTTTAGTATAATTGCTTGAATTGGTTGATTTTTTTTTCAACTCTCAAAACCCATTATTTTCAGTATGGTTTCATTTATTTTGCATCCATATAAACACTTTTATATGAGATATGATAATAATGTTATTACTACAAAACAAAAAATTAAAACATGACTATGAACCCTAAATTTCTTGCTTACTAGATAGCGTCTTACGTACATTTGATGCACATAATGCCACATCCATTTAAGGCACCGTCTTTTTTTGAACCGGAAATTCCTCTCTATTCATATCATTACCTTCAGGATCGTTACATCAATCAAAAGAAAATCATATATGACACCAACTAACATCCACAAACTAAGACTGTAAACCTTATGATCAGACTTAGAGACGGCCACCCTTGAAAGAGCAACACGAATCGCTAACCACGAAGCGGATTTAACATAGCTATCCCTATTTCCATAGATCCATATATTCCCAACGACATAAAAACAGGTTAGGTTACTAAACAAACTTGCATACCTAACAACATAGACGTAAACAAGAATCCAAATGGCAAAATAATAATAACTAATAGAATAACTTTCACGGGCCCTAACACCTCGTTCAACTCATGGTGGTGGTTCAGGAGGAGGCCGCATCATCGGTACCAGGTGACCGGAGCCACTGCCGGAAAAACTCCTAGGAATATCCTAGATACGGCCGCACCTTAGGGATTATATACGCCCGCTCCTCAGCGAATCCAATCGATATGGGCTACGTCTGCACCCCACAGCCTCTAAATTGACAAATGAATCACGATCTTCTTCTTCCTACTGGCCGGCCGCACAGCTTGAAGCAGCGGAACTCTAACCCTAGTACCGTCGTAAGTAAATGTGTTTTTGATTCAAATGTTAATTTATTATATTCCATCTCTTAATTGCTCAAGGCACTGCTTGATTTCTGGAAAAGAACTTGGTGTGGAAAACATTTTTTCGGAAATATAAGTTTCATGTAAAATGACTTTTTTGGAATATAAATAAGCAGGTTAAAACTAAAGGGTTATATTAAAGTAATGACAACGTGCAAAACAATATCATCACAATTACAAACCCTGACAATAGAGTCAGTATGAAAAATCAATCAAACTTTCTAGACACCAAATGAGGAAACATAAACTTAAAGCATCAAATCAACAATATTGTCTATCAAATCTTCTACTCCCTCCGTCCCTAAAAGCATTGCCAAGTTTGACCGGCACGTAGAATAATAAAGTAAAAACTGTGCGGTAGAGATTTGTGAAGAGGAGAGAGAAATAACTGGAGCCACAAATTGATTGATTAAAAAAGAAAGTGGCAAAGTTTTTGGGACAACCGAAAAAGGAAAGTTGGCAAAGTTATAAGGGACGGAGGGAGTAATATTTAGCTGCCTTGTAAAACAAAACACTCCAATATCTCTACAATATCTCTGCAATATTAAAAGAGAGAATAATGTTCAGAGCATAATAGTCACGTGAAAATGTTCGTGTCTCTCCAAGCTTCAACTCATTGTAAATTCTGCTTAATTGTTGTACCATTAGTATTTTCTCCCTCATATCCTCGCCGCTTCTGTTAAATAAAAAGCAACAAGCTCTCATGTCTCTCTGTATCTAACAACTGCTGTGTTAAGCAAATCAGTCACCACGTTCCCATCTCCTCAGAATCGGCATTTCCACGGTAGGCCTAAATTCCTATCAATTCCACCTTGATGCTTCCTACTCATCTCCAGATGTTAACCGGCTCTCGGTAGTGGCAGTAAACTGTACAAAGATAGCGTTCTTTAGACTTTTGAGTAACGTGGAGAGAGGAAAGCTAACGAGAGGAATCTTTTCACATTTTACATTTCATAGGAGAAGCTAATGACTCGGCTTGTGTTCAACAGGGAAGCCAAATATAATGGAATCAACATTCGATAATGATATTGGTGCAAATATATTTATATCAATCTCATCACATTCTCTGTATCTGTTTTCAAGTATGCCATTTCGTTGTGAGATGTACATTGCTATATCGTCAGAAGCTCCTTACAAAACTGAATTTCATGCATCATTATGTATTTCAATCAAATAGTTACTACTTTGCGGTTCCACATAAATCAAACTTCATATGGATTATATCATAGATTTGGTGGTCATAAATTTGCATTTCACATGTTCGACGGAATGCCTCATTGAAATTCTCTTTACTTTTATTTCATGTCTTATTTTTTCATTAATTTCTCATAAAGTTGTCTCTCTCAACCCCTTTGCAACTACGCATTGGCCATTTTTTTGAAGATTTTCTGAGCTACTTCGAAATTTTAGTCTATACCGGTGTTGATAATGCAACTAGATGGAGTTACACGCCACTCTCACGAGTAGTTCTTTGAAGCTAAAGAAGTATAGTGGATAAAAACAAGTTTTATATGGAGAGTTTGAAAATATCTTCCAATTTGCTCTCCCCCACCAAGTCATTGAGTAATTCTATCTCTTCTAACTTTTTTTATGTATTTAACGAGCAAATACTTCACTTTTGAATTATAAAGATCAATTTAAAGCACACAGGGTGGTTTTTAAAAGCCTGGTGATGCAAAAATGTGATTGTCAATTTCTACAATTGTGATTCTTTGACAATAATAAGACATTTCTTTAGCCATTTAACCATTAGTTGTTCGAATGCAACTTTAACTTATGATAACACTTTTACAGAGACATTAACTTATACTATGATTTTTTGGATAAACTAATTGTGTCTTAGCATAGTATAAATTAGTAATTGCAAAAACAATTTGTCCTGGGATTTTACATGGCCACATATGTTAATAGCTAACCGGCCTACTTTTTCCCAAGTGTTAAGTATTTACCAGGTGAGCCAAAGAAACTCACACACAAAGATATAAAAACTATATATATAGAATCCTTTTTTGCTATGAAAGGTCTACGTCCGAAGGGGTTATAGAGAATCCTCTTGGGCTATCATTGATTGAGAAGAATATTGGAAACAAATTTCTCATTCTAGTGGTAGTAATGCAGCATGTGGTGTATTATGTAGCATGTGCTGTAGTTCAGGCATATATGTTGATTCTATATGAAATTTGAAGGGATCATTGTTAAAGTAAAATCCTTAGGTAAATTTGTGTTTTGTCGCTTTTTGATTTCTACACTCTAAGATGGTGGATAGATCGCAAAAATCTTCTAGCATATACATTGACCATACAGATCGAGTGAATACAGTGTAATGATTACAACTTCTTCCTACCATTGTCATTATCATTTGATACGCCGAAATGACATTTCTGACATGTCTTAACAATGGCGTTGGGCATTACCACGAACGCGCAACGTGCGTTATTAAAATAGTTTCAAACAAATTGTGTAACAACACAACCAACATAAAAACGCCACTGCACCGGAAGATTGGAGAAAAAATGTTATAGTACTTGTTTTTGTTAAAGCCAACCTAAAACTCTTTACTCCACGACTCTAAATTCATTTTTTAAATCATTGATTTAATTAAGTTTGCCTAATCATTAAGCTACTACTTATTAATATAATGTTTTGAGCGTTGGCATCTAAACTCCTGAATATGAGAACAAATATACCATTATTCAATTTTTTAGAACAAACAAACCCCTGATATTAAGTACATATATACTACTAAACTTTTAAAAAGGTACGAAAATATCTCTCATGTAGTCATGTTCCTATAAAAGAGCAAATTTAACTTTATTGATTTTAAATAAATAAAATAAATTTGAAATTTGAAATTCAAAAGTAAAAAATTAAAGAATAAAAAACATAGATTTATTTTTATGTTAAAATTTTAACTCTTTAATTTTAAATTGCAAAATTATTATTTTTCCGTTGTAAATAAAGCACGTCAAATTTATAAATGTTAATTTTAGTCATGTTGCTAAAGTTTTAACACATTGTTACACTTCTTGAAATAACATTCTTTGATTTTGTAATGTTGGACTATTTATCTTCATACAAAATATGTAAATCTATAGTGCAAAGAATACAAAAAATAATGATTAATTTAACACTATAACACATATGTTAACACTTTTATGTAGGGATGGCAATGAGGCGGGGTTGGGGTGGGGGCGGGCGTTCACTCCCTCATTCCCCGTCTCGTGTCTAACCAATCACCCCCACCCTCGCCCCATCTCTCACTACTATTCGACCCGCCACATCCCCCACCCTGACCCGCTAGACCCACGGGTACCCAGCTGGGAAATCTTCCTAAAAAATTAACACTATTTTAGAGCCAGATAGTTTTTCAAAAATTAAACAACACTTCTAGTACATGGCAAAAAAACTTTTAGTTTTCAAGTGTTAATGTCATCTTACATCTCATTTCAAATTTAGAACACATTATACACGTTTTGATTTAGTCATTTTATCAAACACTTTATTAGCACTGATAAGCTCTATAATATTTTCTAAAGCCCTTCATTCAATCAACCATGATCATTTGATATCATTTAGGATGACCTATGGTCATCAGATTTTTAAGAGCCCTAACTACAATCATAAAGTTGGCATTCATAAGAAAAGAATTAATGCAGTATAATAGTAAGAGAAGAAAACATTCACATTGTGACTGAGGAGGTTAAACTAATGTCACTTTTTAACTTTCCCAGATTCATTCTACTTTATATGATTTTGATAACCAATTTTACAAGATAGTTGAGTTATTAAACAAGAATTAGATAGACTAAACTCACCGAACCACCATGCTATTCTAATGACTTCGTATTAGTAATTACATATTTATAACTAAAATGAAAATTGTTTACAAAAATGTAACTAAAGACTAGAGTAGTAATGAAATTATAGTAACTTATGTTCAATTTTTAAACTTATGTTACTATGACACTACATCATAGTAACTAATAGTCATATTTTGTGTAAAATAAATTTTAT